TGCATGTCAGGCAGCATGAGTTAGCTAAGAGATTCCAAAATAAGAACACGTGGTTTTCCAATTGCAGACATTCCATGTTTGGCTTAGGACACAGGCCAATAAACAAGCAGTGCTGACCACAATGGCCGGACTCTGACGGAAACTCCCAGAGGCCAAGTACTGAAGGGTTGAGAAGATGTGAATATGCAAGCTGGATGCTTCCAGCACCAGTCTGTGACACCCAGAGTTGGCAGACACTGGGAGTCTAAGTGGGTCTTTAAGTCTTGCCAACAAGACAAGAGCATCAAACCGATTGTGCTAATCTGAGGCCGATGATGCTTCTGAACAAAGTCAGGTCACAGAATCAGCCCCATTTGGTTTTTAATGTTTCCTTTTTTAAGAGGCAGAGCAGCAGAGAGAGCTTGATCTCACACTTGCTAGTTCATTCCCCCAAATGACCACCACAGCTTGGGTTGGGCTCAGAAGCCAAGAGCCAGGAACTGCATTTGGATCTTTAGCTAAGTGACCGCAACTTAAGTATTTTAGCCATCCTCTACCACCCCCCAGGATAGCAGGAAGCCAATCTGCAGTAAACTGGATCAGAAAAAGGGGTGGGAGTGATACCAGGCTCCCAGTTCAGAATTACAGCAGCTTTATGCTGCTTCACCACAATGCCTGTCCCTTTTTGATAGCTAACAGTTATATTGTTTTCTTAACACATGGCACATTCTGGAATCTCCTAGCAAGAACCAATAAACTCTTTACTAACAATTGTACATTCTCTGAATAATCTCATTAATGGAATAATCTCAAAATAAATAAATAATCATGATGTATTAAAATATAATTAGGACCGAGGAGAGAGGTTAAATGTCTTGGTGTGATCACCTGGTGGAATCAATATTAATATCAAACTCATGAGGAAAATCCGTATATCCTCAAAACTGTACTTCTTCAACTGTTGTTCAACTGAACCTTACGGACAAAGAGAATGAGAGAATTTATCTGAAAGAAAGCAGCTATTTAATTCTAACAAAAATCAGAGTGGTAACAATATTTAATCTAAACAAAGCTCAGATCCTAAAGTAGAAGCTAAATATGCACGAAGCATGAGACTGACCCGTGGTTCTGAAAAGTCTGAGAGCAGGGACGTCTAGAGGTTGTTGGTAAGACACAGACATGAGACTGAGCCAAAATAGGAAGGTCAGGTCTCCTACACAAAGAGAACAAATCAAAGATCACAAAGTTCTGTTTCCTCAAGTAGAGCAATGGTTAAGCGCTGTTAACCTTGCTTGATTTGGAAAGCAGTTTCTTAATGTCAATCAATTCTTTCTCAGAACAGTTTATTTAAGGAAACAAAGCAAGACATTCCGGAAGTCAGTGGCTTGGACAACAAAGCAATGATGGGAACAACACGACGGCCCTGTGCTGATGAATCATGCTAAGGGGCACCTGTGACCACAGGCTTGCAGGAGGGGACATTTGTTTTTTTCGGATTCGGTAGGTTTAGTTTTTATAAAAAGGTGAAACAGCCTAAAGGGAAGAGTTGAGAGTTTCCCAGGCTCTGCAGGAACCCAGGCTAGAGTCATCAGACAGAATCCCATCTCAAGTGAAAGGAAGCCAACCAAAGGGAAGAAAGGGTGGGACATGAATAACAGAACACGGTGTGGTGAAACTCTTCAAAGACTGCGATTCTGTTAAATGTAACTTCCCAGGTACACGGTGAGCGAGTGAGAGTCTTACACCGCCTACTCACTGAACATATAGCACAATACGCTACGTGGTGCTGCTGCCATCACTTCACATGATTAGCTCCAATTTGCACATCAACACAGTGTGGTGGTAACTGTTCATATGAGCTTGGTTGTATTTTCCAAACTTACGCAATCAAGCTACAGAAATGGGGAAATCTACAAAGATCCAATTATTACATTATTACTTAGTATAATTAACTCTTAAGAACAACAGCAAACTGACACTATGAGGCCTGAACCATTTTCCAGCATATTTGAGAGTTTGGGTATCAGAGATCCAACACCTGCTCAACAGAAATACAAGAAGGTGGCCAATAGCTTTCTCTCGGTGTGATCCACCCACGGTCGTGACTTCTATAACTGGAGGAGGCTTTCTGGAAGTAACTAGGTTTTTGTAAGATTAATATCTGAAGATAACAAAGAGGAGAATGGGCATGCTTTTTAGCACAGCTTCTGAGAATCCTAAAAGGATGCATTAAAAGTAAGGATTTCACTTCTGGGCACTGTGCTAGGCAAAGAAGACAGGACATGAAATAGATTCTTTATAACTTCAAGGAACTGCTTATTTCCTAAGCTGCTGGATTAAGGCAGCAGACAGAACCTTCCTCATGACTGCACCTCACAAATTCAAGTTCACCCAGGGTCAGCCATGCCATGAGCTCTGACTCTGACATATCCTTCTCCAGGTTCCTGAGCAAAGAAAATCAGAGGCACTGATTACTACAGTCTAAGTAATGCCAGCTAAGGAAATGCTATCCTCTAAATCATGCCAAGGCAAAATCTGGCTTTAAAAATCATAGCATTTAAGGTCCTCTAAGCAAAGTTTATTTTGTGTTCATAATCAACTTGTAATCTATTGATTTTCCAAATTTCCAGCTCTCCCTCCTCAGAAGATTTTGATAAGCCAGATGAAGTCAACATTAGCAAATATACTGAGGTTTAGAGAGTTACTTTGTTCAGACAGTGTGTGTGTATGCCTGGGGGTGTCACATGTCATTTTGGTGCTACTTTTCTGTCATTGTGGGTGATGTGAGTATGATTACATGTATGGTTTTCAGGCCTTGATGATCCTTGGTCATGGAAATCTCACAGGCCTTTCTTCACGCAAGGGGCCATGAAACATTCAGACAGAGGAGAAAGTTCCAATTTTAAAAAGCCAAAATATTCTTAAAATGCAAGTGTTTCACAAAGCTTATATTATCTGTATGATTTTGGTGTCAAGATCTTTATATATATAGTCACACCTATTGTCCATTTGTAAGCAGTGCTTTTTGGTGTGTATTTCAAATAAATCAGAAAACTGTAGGTATTCTTTTTTAAGATTTTACAGAAAAGAGCTAACACAAATAAATCTTGCTTTCTATACAGAATGAAAGAAAAATGATATGGTTAACACACAAGAAGAGCTAATATAAGATGGTGCTCTGTGCCAACCACATTAAAATATTGTAAGCACATATGGTTACATATATTGCTGACCTAAATACACTGCATTAATGTTGACAGCAACTCAGACTAGTAATCCTATTATCTCTATTCTGCAGATGAGAATATAGACCAACAGCAAGGAGTAGTAGAAAAAGCAAAACTGGGAGGCCAAGAGTGGGATTGGGGTAGCCCAATGTATTACTAAGAATTTGGTAAAAAAAAAAAAAAAAGCAATATATCTCATAGAGCATCATTGTTGAACTGAGTTTAACAAAATTCTGAGAGGAGACTAAGAAAATTCAATAGTACTAAACTGAATGAGGAGACTAAGCACATAGCAAAAGTCCAGGCAACATTAACAGGAAGACAAGTTGAAGTTACAATTACCCATGGCAATTTAAGGAAAGAGTCAAGCAATGATTAAAATGTAAACCAGACAACTTTTAATCATCTCCAGGAAAACTTTAAAAAGGTGACATAGAAAGGATAATGTAGAAAGGCTAGCAAATATTCTTAATAAACTATAAAAAATATATTTTCATGGTGTATCTATGATACTAAATGTCATATTGGAGGCTAAGGCAGTTCTTGTTTCCAATTTTATACAATTTCTGGATCAAACTGGTTGTAAATGTACAGAAGAAACCCTCTTGGTGAAAAGTATACATGGCACACGGTCATGAAAATAACAAGAGAATATTATAAATCCTGCAGAAGCTGATGACCCTGTCTGAATCCCAGCTCAATCAATCCAAGCTCTTTGGAACACCTTGGCTAACTCCTTCCTCAGTTTAAATAAGCGAGTACCAACCAACAGCATCTATTCCACAAGAGCACAGTAGGAACAAAACAATAGTTCTAGTGCTTTACTAGACACATTGGCATGGCTCAACATACAGTCACCATCATTTTCATTATATGAGGATTTCATGAGATAACCATTTATTCTTTATGCAAATCAATTTCCAGAGATCCCTAAATCTGCCATAAACAAAGCAATGTCCCCTTGACAAGCTACTTTAGGAATTTACTTCATACAAATTCACCACCTGATGTGAAGTCTGTAAGAGATTATGAGCCTGGCTGGCTGTACCGCACCTGCACATACAGCGGCTTCCTACTGAAGCACATGGAGACAGTCTCACAAAAGAAACATTTGGTCCATTGTGATTTCTGATACAATATCCTTGGGGTTTTTCCAATGCAAAAAACAAACAAACAAAAGAAGAAGAAGAAGAAAAAGAAGAAAGCCTTGGGAAACTATCAAAAGCAACAGTTCATAGTTGAAAAGCAAAAACAACAAACTTATCCGCTGATACCAAAGCAACAAAGCCCAGTTGCTACTGTGTGCAGGTGCCATGATCTGCAAGCATCTTTTTTAAAACCTGGCATCAGGCAGCTTCTTCCTAAAGGTTAACCAGGTGGCAGTTACACAGCAAATTTAACAGGCCAAGAAACTAGCATCTGGAAAATGCAACTTTGGAGACACAACAATCAAGGCAAGCTTTCCTTTTTCCATTCTTGTGTCTCATCATGTTCTCCTCCCCATCCTGCACCTCTCGGCCATTTTCCCTCTATGTTGGCTGCAACTGTATATTGTGCAGTAGATGAGTTCCAAACTTTGACAGAATAATGAAACATACCTCTTGCCAGTGCGGCACATCAAGTGCTCAATCTTGAATGATGTTGCCAATTGCCATTTATCAGTGTGTCACACTTTCAAAAACCATTCCAGAAAACCAAATGTCATCCCAGGGAAACTCATGCCTCAATTTAGAACATGAATTCATACACATTTCCAGCAAGTTTGCAACCTACAGACCAAAAAAAAGTACTTACTTTTGCTCAACAAAGAGAGGATCGAAGAACTCTGTAGTGATTTTGTTGGCGTACAGGGAACAGCCAGTCATGGAGCACAGTCCTAGAGAATGGCAACAGGAAAGCACAACGGTGAGTACAGCCTCACGACCACTGTGAACTATCTCGTTTGCAAGAATGTGGCTTCTTACCTGACAGGATGAACACGATCCCAGCCAAACAGGCAATTTTCGCTTTGGCTTTATCTGAGCCCCCGACTTTGGTACACTTCATGCCAAAGAGTGCAAAGATGGAGCCGAAGAAGCCCAGGCTGACAGCAGCGATCATAAGTCCTCTGCATGCCTGGATGTAACCTGCAATTAGAGGAAGCCATGCACGTTAGCACACAGCTCGCAGCTGTACCGGGAGAAACCTTCAGTTCACATAGTCATGCTGGGTACCTGATCTGTTTTCCAAAAAAAGAAAATGACTATGCTGGTTAAAACATGGGACAAGAAGGGAAAACAAGTTAATATTGATGAAACGCCTACTTCAGCTCACACACAGTACAGGCATCACTTTCCGCAGGGGTCTGGGTGTGATTATTCCGTTTCATGATGAGGAAACAGAGACACAGAAGGATATGCAATATGCCAGCAGGGAGTTAGTAAACCTAGAATGGATTCCAACCCAGACTGGACTACAAACCCACCTCACTCTGTCTTTCCCCAGGAAGCATACCATGTGCCACCACTCCCACCCTCCAAGTCCTTGGCATGTCAGGGGTCTTAAATAGGTGACCTGATGGTCTTGACATTGTGAAAACAGAGAACTTATAGTTGCGCACAAAAGCTCCCAAATTTTCTGATTTTAGTGGAAGTTTATAAACAAAGACTGACCAGACTAAGGTCATGAGCTATGAGGAATCTAAATCAGAGACTATGTTAGTGACATTGTACTACCGTCAGGGAACACATAATAAAACTGCGCTTAAAAAACATTGTTTAATTAGAAGAGTAGTTTGTAGTCATTAAATCAACTGTTTGCATATAGATGAATGTCTTCCAAGTATCACAGGTGTGTGTTCTGCTGGTTTGTTTGACCATCTCTCCTGCACCATTCATTGTCTTGGTCACATATTTTTATTTGCATGGCTAGGGTGATGGCAAACATCAGTGTCTTTTGACCAGGCAGAAACATATTTTAAATCAATAGAATAGAATAAACATTTACCACATAAGCCATTTTCATTTCACTTGAAACAGCACCATATTTCAAGCTGAAGTAGTGACAGTACCACATACTACATGGGAGTTAATTTTTGTTAAGAAAATGAATATTCATTAGATTCACACAGGGAATTATGCCTTTTAGTTGGAACAAGAAAGCCTCTGAAATGGCAAGACATAGCAAATCACTATGTTCAATCCTTTAGTAAATAATAATCCTAAAATCATGACAATCGTGAGTTCAGGGAGAAGATGCTGATGGCCTCCAGTTCATGCTCCTTTGGGAAAGAATGAAATCTGCACGCTCATTTCTACTCTAAGAATCTACTCTGAAGACCAAACAGGAACCTCTTACTGAATTTTATTACATTCCAGTACCCTACACATGCAAACCAAAGTGATGGTGACCTTCTCTTGGACAGAGTGAGCTACTTCCACATAGAAAACAATTTCACTGACATTGAGGCCATCAGAAACAGCAAAAGAAACTTATTTTCAACAAAATAGCATAGGGAAGGTTTATTTTGATAGTGATAATTGTGCCTCAGGGTTACTGGGATCTCTGTTGTCCAGTACTGAACAGCCTGTTTTCAGCTTCTACCCTCCGTCTCTCAGGCCATGGTCCAGGACGCAGGCAATGGCATGGCACGGGAGGAGGATGTGGAAGAGGCAGAGGAGGAGGAGGCCAAGCAGCAACTCATCAGTCCCTTGGGATGTGGCTCATCGGCCACCACCACACTTTTACGAAGTTCATTTTAATCTGTAGTTTTGAGGAGTTTTGGCTGACTCTGAAAGCAATCATTAAATAAATTTTTAAAAATATGTGTTTGGGGTGAGGAGAATAAACATATAGAGTAGTTTCCCTTCTCTATGAGGAACAAGTGCTGAGACTTCCACACCCCAGGGACTTCAAACCACAGGTGGCACTGAACCCTGCATATACTATGCTTCTCCCTGTACACACACACCTGATAAAGAGTTTGACATTGAACATAAGCACAGGATGAGATGGAAAAGTAACAAGAGAATGTCCATAGAAAACATTATTATGCAGCATAATTTGTTTTCCCTATTTATTTTAGAGGCTGTGTTCACAGAAAATGGAGATGGTCAGGACTTTACCAGAGGAGAAGTTCTACATGCTGTCATCTAGAACAGGGAAGGCATTTTCCCAGAGGGTGAACAGAGGTTACAATCGCAGGCCAATCCATTTCATCATCCAGACAAAGTGGAAGTGACATGAGCTGTAACCTCTGCACCTGTTCTCGCTGGGTTTCTTTTTCCTGAGTGCTTCCGGCTCAGCCCTTGAACCTGTTCTGGTCTCTTGTATGGGAGAGTTGGAGGAAGTAGGTTCTGTTTTGGTCAGGTCCTCCTCTTCTGCCAACCAGATCCCTGGTTTGGAAGGTGAGGTCTCTCTGTGATACGATAACAGTAGCAATTGCCAACAAGGTTTTATGTGCACAAAAGAAGTCCCTTACTGATAGGATGTTCTGAAATGGGGAGCAAAGAGAAGCGGATGAACCCCCCTGCCAGCCATGCAAGGAATGAATTGCCACTTCCTAAAACACCCACAGACTCCAGCTTTCAGTGACTTTAACACACTAAGTTTATCTTCTGCAAGGCAGACTCAACTTTCCAACAGCTCCTTAGGGCAATGCTCACGAGTAACACCACCAAGTGCAACAGACATAAAAACCCAGCCAAGGAGGCCATTATTTCTGACAAGCCTAATTTACGGGTACTTGTTAATACTTAATTAACACATTAAACTGCTGGGGCATGAACATATTTACTTAGAAGTTCTATGAAGTATAATTTACAGTTAGTTCTCCCGAGAGAAGCAGCAAACATTCCCACCACCAAAAATAGACGGCCTACACTAAAAACAACTGGCTGGAAATGGTGCTCTGCTGAAGCTCAGGGAGCACTCCCAAAGGCATACAGATGAGCAATAAACAGAATGCACTGGCTCAATCAACAGCGACATTCTCAAGGAGTAAAATGTAGCAAGTGGAAAAAAATGGACGGATTCTTTTGGAGGAAACCTTCAAAGTGTCCCTGAAATTCACGTGTTTTCTAAATGACACAGACCCATTTTTCAATTGCAGATCAGCAAAAATGAAAATATCTACATGGTGGAGACAATTCACTCAAGACACACTTGCAAGCCACCGAAGTTCTAGAAGCAAACTGGAGAAGTGCTTCTCACCAGAATGGCACCAAACACGAAGAAGGAGGCTCCTGCCAAGAAGCAGCAAAGGCTTTTTTTTTGGCTCAGAACACAGTGCTGAAAGATGTTTAGAACCAGAACATAAAGAAGATCCACATGTCACTCATTTCCAGCAGCCCAAGACTCCGCGTCTCCAGAAGCCAAATATGCTTGCAAGAGCCACCCCAGGAGAAACGAGCTTGACCACTGAGTCCACCATGAAGAAGACAGAAGACAACAGCACGCTTGTGCTCCTTAAGGACGTCATGGCCAACAAGCAGCCGATCAAACAGGTTATGAAGAAAGTCAGGGACCTGGAGGCAGCCAAAGGCAACACCCTGATCATACCCATGCAGAGAAGGCGGTGTAGGCTCTGCCGGCTCCTGATTATGATGCTTTGGGTGTCGCCAACAAAGAGGGGATCACTAAACTTGATTCCAACCGGCTAACTCTAAATATCCCTTTTAATCCAAAAGCATAAAAGAAGATACTTTTCTTATCCTGGTAGCTTTGGGTACTTTTTTTCATCAACTCTTTGAAAGAAACATGGGTGGGAAAAAGGCAGGAACTCTAAACTTGAGCTCTGGTATGTCTGTGATGTGCCCCTGATCACATTATTACTTAATCTGAGCCCAGTTTTCTTATCTGTAAAACAGGAATGTGGCACACCCAACTCACAGACTACATAGAAATCAATAAGGTATCGTTATTTAGTGGAGGGTTAAGCTTGTGGTTATAAAATGAAAGCATGCCATCATAAAAATTAAAAAAAAATAAGAAAAGGAGGAAGGATGGTAGGAGTGAGAGAGTACTGCGCAGCAAGCATCATTATGCTCATGAAATTGATATATGAAACATATAAAATTTGTTCCCTTTGTATAAATTAAAATTACCAGCCTTTACAAACGGCAACAAAAAAGAACACAAAATATCTGACGAGGAATAAGAAAATCATCAAAGGCACTCAATAGAGACATTGAGTCCAAGCAGGATTGAGCAATGCCTTCATAACACAGTGTAATATTAAATCCAGGTGTTCAGCTTTGCCATGCCTCATTTCTCCAGCAGGGAAAACCTGGGTGGTCATGACACCCCCCTGAGGGTGAAGAACCAGGGCTTTGAACTCACAGCAAATTCAGAAAAATGATCCCATTGCCTGCATCCTAGAAGTCTGCTTTTCCACCAAACACAAGAGCAAGGTGTCCCGAGCCTTCTCTCTCCTTACCCTGTTTCAGGGCTCAGGCAGGCTGCTCAGGTCTTTGGCCACCAGGGTCCACAGAAAAGCAGCCTTCACCCATCACTATAAAGGCAATGCCAGGTCTTACAGCCAACACATGCACCTGCTCTGGACACAGGCAGACAGTACACAAGCAGAGAGGCTCTGTTCCAGAAAGTTTCCACTTGCAGGTGGGAAAATCAGCTCTCCTTCATATGAATACGCAGCTGTGTGCTAGAACCTTCTGGGAGAAACACACAAGTAAGTGTTCTGGTAGCAAAACTCCTCTGAAGCTGCCGAAGGCCAAGTTGTCAAGGAAGAGATGGATCAGCCTGAGTACAACACAAATTTCTAAGTCCCACATGAAAGGAAAGACAAGCAATAGTTTTTTATTGCAGATATATCACAAATCACAAAATGCCTGATCATTTTAACCAGAGGGAAAAACAGAACCACAGGCATAAGATATAGACAAATCAAAATGAGAAAGCAAAAAAGAGGGTCTCTATATACATGATAAGATTGCCAAAATTGCTGATCATCGAGAAATCATAATTAAAATGACAACAAAATCTGTCACCCAGAACACTGGATGAGAAAATGCAGTGGTAAGAATGTAGAGAAACAGGGAGCCTCTTAAATCGTTGGTGGAATGCGATCTTGTAGTACACACTGAATATGGAAATGCATTTACTGCTCTGATAGTAACACGGCTCAGTGGAGTTGGCTACAGAAACACACATGCATACAAAGAGGTGAGTTCAAGGATTTTCAATACGGTATTAACACCGATAAAAAGTAGCAAAGGGCCTGTGTGCACAATGAGTACATGGTTAAGTCCACCAGTCTATCCGGACAAATGAATGCTACGCTGCAGTGAAAAAGAGCCACTTCTATCTGTCCCAACTTGGGAAGACAAAGGATGAACTTTAAAGCATTGCAGGAAACAAAAAGGTAAATCATGAGCAGTTATGTAGATAAAAGTCATTTCTGTAGAGGTGGTGTTACACAACCCTGGGGGCAGTACTAAATACCACCAAGTTGTTCACTTTATGATGACTAATGGCACAAGGTGAAAGGGCACAGATTTAGGGATGAGTGGCAAGGAGCCCAGTCACCGCCTGGGACACCTGTACCTCAAGCCGAGTGCCTGCGTCCCTGCTCTGCTTCTCGTGGTCCAGCTTTGTGCTAATGTGCACCCTGGGAGCCAGTGGATGACGACATTCGGGTCCTTGCCACCTGCATGGGAGACCTGGATGAAGTTCCAAGCTCTCGGCTTCAGCCTGGCCCAGTTTGAATGTTGTATTTGGGGCATGAACCAATGGATACAAAATTTCTATGTACCTCTAACTTGCTTTTTGCCTTTCAAATAAAAATTTAAAAAAATTTCAAAAAATTTGCAAACTATCCAAATTGCTATGCTAGGAATGCTAAACAAATCGTTCATTCAAATACCAGTGACCCAAAATTCAAGGACATTTGAAATGCATGGAAGATACATTCAGTGTAATGCTAAGAAAATAAGTAGGTTGAAAATGGTGTATTAGTTACCATACTCATCATGGTAACAGATATCTAGAAAAACCAGATCACCTTTTTATCACAAACTGGGTGGTATCTGAACCTCACCTCAGCTCTACTCCCCGCTAATATGGGGCTTACTAACGGAACACTCTGCCCTCCTTCCTTCATTGTTACCCCGCCTGCCCCAATCAGGATACCCTAGGCTCTGGGACACACCGGGATACTCCACTCTCCTTCCTGCAGTAATAGCCCCCAGCACTGACTCCTCCCTCCTCTGCTTTGTCCCTCCACTGTCCCATAGAAGGAAGCGCCTGGCTGGCATGCCATCCTCAGTAACAATGGAGTACAAGCCCAAGAATGTTTGCAGGACAGTAAACTGTCAACCTCACGTTCCTGGATGTAAAGCCACAAGAACAAGAGCCTGTCTGTTCACCACCTGGATGCCTACTGGCAGGCTTGGGGAGCTCAGCATTCATTGTGGTTATGAACAGGGCTCCGGCTGCTCACCTTACACAATGGGCTGCAGACCCAGGTGCCCCTTCATAACCCTAACACAATTCCCCAAGAGGAGGTTCTGTCTGAAACCACACTGAGAAACAGCTTGCTTTGGGCAGCCAGCACCATCTTGAGGGAACCAAATTTTGTCTCTCACTTGCCCAGCTATACAAATAAAAAACTGCAAGAACAGTCATTTAAAATAACATTAGAAAATCAGATCTATAATTAAATGACGCCATTTAAGTTTTTGCTGGGATTCATTCACCGTCTGTTACTGTAAAATTCTGGGGGAAAAGTCTAGAATGAAAGAAATTACTTTGGCTGCTATGGAGACAATCCAGTTTGCTAGATGCATATCCACCTGTTGCTACAAGGCAATACAACACAGAGCTCCGCTGGCTAAGCAGAACCGCACAAACGCTCACAGAACATCAGGCAGGGAACGCCACGGAGCCCAGGAGAGAGAGGAACAGACGCAACCTGCAGGTTTCCAGAACAAGATCTTGCAGGGACCCAGGGTCCCTGCCCTCTGAGGACGCTTCTTTCCCCGGCCTGATCAGAGCTATTTATTTCCCTAGAATTCAGAGCAGGTGTTAAAGCCTGAACTTGAAAGTCAATGGAAGAATTTTTACAGAAAAGAGCAAAAATTCCTGCAATATGGCATATATATATATATTTTTTCTTTTCCCTGCCTACTTTGAAAAGAACCAAGGAAGCGACTGAAGGCGTTGGAGAATGAGTGAGTGGGGTGGCTGGGAAGGGGGAAGATTTGGCTCACCACCAGGCTATGTTGATTGGGACCCTGATTTGGGTGGTGTGTGGAGGGAAGAAGCTTTGTCCCAACTGCCCCCAGAGACGCGGGACTGACGTGTGCCGACTCTTAGGACCCAGCGTGCCTGGAAATTATCCCAGCCAGGCTGTCCTTGAGACCACCCTTCTCCAGCATGCGCATCCCAGGGGTCCCGGGGGTCCCGGGGTGTGAGCTATCAGGGCACCCACGCTGCAGGAAGGTGGGTGCTGGGGACCCTCCCCTGCTCCATCAAGCTGGTTCCCAGTGAAGTGGCAGGGGGGGCCAGGCCTCGGAGGAGCCCCGTCCAGGAGCTTCCGCTCCGGGGTCGTGGGACGGAGAGACCCATCCACAGGGTGGCCAGAGGAGTAAGGGCTGGATGGGGCCCAAGGGGGATGCAGACCGTCCAAAGCCAGCATGGAGGGGAAATCCTTGCAGTTGGAGACGCCGGTGGAGTCGGTCACACACGTCTTCCACAGGTTGGCCCAATAGGTAGCAGTGGTAATGACCGTGCCGTCGATGGTGGACACCTTCCAGTAATCGGTGGGCAGCGTGGAGGACACTAGCACCCAGCCTGAGATGGAGACCATGAAGGCGATGATCTCCGAGGCCGTGCTCGCCATCCCGCCCGCTGCCGCTGCACTCACGCTCGCCCTGGCGCTCCCACTTGGCGCCGGGACCCCTGCGCGCTGGGGCCGGAGACTCCGCCTTCCACCGCCTCCCTCACCCCGCCCGCTGCCCCAGGGATCCGGCGCCAGGGGGAGCGCGCGGCCTCGCACACCGTGTCCGGCCCAGCGCAGCGTGCAGCAGGTGCTGTAGGGAGGCTCAAGCAGCACGGGCAGGGCGGGCAGGGCGAGTGGCCAGCCGCCGCCTGCACTCCCCTGAGTTCCCGATCCATACAACTCACTCGCAGGAAAACGGCTGTCCTGCTGCAGTGGTGCAGGAACAACTGGGAGCTGCTGTGGACAGCCGGGCTGTAGACCCAGCCTGCCACCCCTGACTCAGTCCTACCTACCCTGAACACCTTATAAAAACAGAGCTGGAAAAATAAAAGCCTTTTGTGTGTTCTAAGAGGGCAAGGTCTGGTCCCGCAGCCCTCGGCTTGCTGGGTTCTTAGAGGTCTGTGCTCCACACTTGTCTGTGTTATCCTATTTGGCTTTTCATGAGGGATCAAGGTGCCAGTGCTTTATCTCGAAATCGACCTTGCCCTCCAAATTCTGTAGTTTTTCGGGGCCTGGCACTATGTGCAGAGGCCTTGGAGGCACAGGTCTCAAGACAGCAGTGATGGACATTCCAGGCACCCGGACATCTGCCTTTGTTTCCACCTTGATCTTGAATATTGCAACCGCGTACCTCTCAGGGATTGTGTCTCTAAGGCCTTTGGCCTGTAGCACCCTACCAGCTTCTGACTGTGTGGGTCTGATCCATGAAGAGAGGGCTCTAGCACAATGAGTTTAAAAATACGTAATTGTTTGAGGATCAGGATTACAGAGACAGAGATCTTCCATCTGATAATTCACTTCCCAAACGATTATAACACTACAACACCCCCGCCCAGGCCCTGCCAGGCCCAAGCCAGGAGCTTCATTTGGGTCTCCCTTGCAGGTGCAGGATTCCAAGCACTTGGGCCATCACCCACTGTTTTCTTACATGCATTAGCAGGGAGCTAGAAGTGGAGCAGCCAGGACATGAGGCATATGGGATGGTGGTGGAGGCTTAACCCACATGCTGGCTTCCACAGTGAGGCTTCACTTTTTACAACACCTCCACTTTCAGCATCCAAGACAAGAATAAACTCATTTATTGCTTCCTTTCTTCATTACTGCCTCAAGTTAAATATAAAGAGCAGGGTGTACTTCCAGCTCCTGTAGTTACACATCTGGGCATAGATGAAGGAACAAAGACACTGGTTTATGAGGAGGTTATTATTCGTCCACTTAAAGTTCTTGCCGTTCTTGTTGTGACCTTTCAGAATTCACTTCTTGCCAAAAGCAGTCAAAGCTCTGAAACCTATAAATCAGGTCTGCTGGAGAAAGGCTAGCTACCAGCCCTCTGTTCACAGGGACATTTTTGGTTCATGGAGAAGAATTCAATTCCTGTATATCGCTTCTTGTTTTTCTTTAGCCAAGTGGGGGCAGAGTGAAATTGGAGGTGACCAGCGAATCCCGAGGAAGAAAAAGTATTTAGCCTACAGATTCCTCAAAACTCAGGTTTTCACAGAGATCCTTGGGACACGAGCCATACTTGCACAATTACTGTGCTTCTAGAATAATATTCAGCTCATGTTTGATGAGTCAAGCCCAGTACTCCAGGCAGAGCAGGATGCTTTGTCTTCTGTTCTGTAGGTACTTTCAGAAAGTTCTCCTTTCAGCTGGGCCTGAAATGTCTCTCACTTACACCAAAATGCTGTGATGATCTGCGCTCTCATCTGATTCCAAGTGGTCTTTCCTTGGTGGGGCAGCTGCAGGGACCTGTACTTGACCTTCATGGCTGGGGTGGTGGAGTGCAAGTCGAGGGATGCGTAGGTTGTGCACTTTTCACCTCCACGCGTGTTGCGTCCACTGGAGATTAAACTTAAAAACAAAATTTGGGGCACAACGCAATGGCTCACTTGACTGATCCAACCCACCCCTTCAAGTGCCAGAATCCCATAAGGGTGCCAGCTGCTCCACTTCCCTTCTAGCTCCCTGCTATTGGTCTGGGAAGGTAGTGGAGGGGCCCTGCACCTGCACTGGAGACCTGGAAGAAGCTCTTGGGTCCCGGCTTCAGATTGGCTCAGCTCTGGCCATTGCACCCACTTGGGAAGTGAACCAGCAAATGGAAGATCTTTCTTTCTTTGTTTCCTTCTCTCTGTAAATTTGCCTTTTCAATAAAAAATAAACCTTTGAAAAATAAAAATAGTAAAATTTGGGCAGCACCTTTTTAACCTCTTCTTTCTTCTCCTCACAGCTGTCCCAATCTGCCGCTGTCAGAACCCAAATGATATCTGTTACTCTTTTGTATGAATTGTCTTTTGAAAGTACTTCTGTTACCTGGGAGTCCACTCTCCAAATGGCCACAACTGCCAGGACAGGGCAGAGCCAGTCAGAAATAAGGAGCCTACAACTCCACTGGGCTCTCCACACAGGCAGCAGGGGCCTAAGCACTAGAACCAGTGTCCACTACCTTCCCATTAGCAGGGAACTGTATCAGAATTGAAGCAACCGGGACTTGAACAGACACTCCAAAATGGCATGCTGGCATTGCAAGCGGAAGCTTAATCAACATCAGTCCCTTCCACTGTTGTTTCTGGACTGTCTTCCTTTTTGAAACATTGCCTGTTTTAGATCTGATTTATTATTTGGAAACTTGCAAAAAAGCACTAACCCTTCACAACTACACAAAATTTGTACTCAATTTCTTTACCTTGTCAGTTCTTGTTTGCTGTGTCTTGCTCATGGTAGATATCCATAAAATGCACTGATGACTTCTTTGCTATGACTAGACAAGACAAAATGCTGATTTCCCTGGACACCCGAAAAAGGATGTTGTAGCCTTGAAGACTCAGTTTATTAACTCTTTTGCTTGGATCCAGGGACACAGAGTACATCTTAAAGAAGGAAAGAACCATGTGCAATGGTTTTGTTTAATATATAATGGAGTTTAACTATTGTACTTGAAAATCCATAACCCAGGTCACCATTGCAACACAGCATTTAGATGAAATCAATTCTGAATTCAAACTCTTGCTCCTCTTCCCTCTGCTGCGTCACCACACCAAAGCCAGCATCCCCAACCCCAAGTGGCCATGGCAGCAGCATTTATAAAACCTTCAATGTGTGGCCAGGCTGCAAACCACAGCCCTGCCCGGTGCAGATTCTTCCTTCTGCTTATAAACCATTAATTTAGCAAAACAGATGGTGTGACTTGCCAAAAGAATGAATATTAATCTCTTTGTTTGAAAACCTAAGGAAATAGGTTCAATTAATGTGGGACTTGTAATGCAGTTTCAACTTAAAAGGGATTGAAAATGCCACAATTCAGAACTGAGACCTGAACTGGCACCACTGACAGTTGCCTTGCCAGCCAGAGCAGACTTGGGTCGTCATGCCTGTGGACTTGATTGATTTTTCTTTTACTTTTATCCTTTGTTCATTCCATGAGATTAGACATTGCTAAATTTTTTTTTCCTCCCAAGAATGCATTGCATATTTATTATGTAAAGTTATATTTGAAAGTCCAGGAGTTTCTGACCAAAGAGTACAAATTGCTAACTGTCTTCAATACTCAAAGAAATACTCAGTAATGACTCAGGCATATAAATAATTTAAAATGTCTCATATCTTAAGATTTTCAAACCATTTTTAGTCTGAAGACTCCTAAAAGTATATGTAAGCATTTCCAGAAAATTAAAATGGGTCAAACACTGAAGATTTTTTAAAAGAATGCATAAAGTAGACTATTACATTTTAAGATTATAGAGTCCCAGGTAACCTTTGTAGTTACTGTGCAAGCCAAGTTACAGAATGCACCTTCCAATTGATAAATGCTTCCTTATTTTCTTTGGGATTTGGTTCACCAAATTTTTTTATTGAACCTTCCAGAGCAGACTATTCCTACTGGTCATTTCACTATAACGGTGAATATACTGAGAAATATGCTTTCTCTAAATTTTTCAAGGTGGCATCTTAATTTACAATAATATGGTCTGCATAAAAGGCTGTAGACCTCTTCCAATATGATAACAACTAATGTAAAAAAACATCCTGAAATCTCTTCTGAGCCTTTCTACTTTTCAGGCCCAAGACACTGGAATTTACATTGGAAGTTATTCCTCCATTGTTGTTGTGGTCATTAAGGAAAAGCAGAGGAACCTGCCATGCCAGGGTGTTCCCGGAGTGTAAACCAGCTGAGCCGACTGAGCGGGAGATTTGCAGAAATTCTTCACTTGAGATCCCAGTCACCTGCCAAATAGCACAGGTGTGCCTTTCAAAAGCGCAAGGATTTTCTAAGCATCAAATCTGGTTTCAGGACACATTAGCTCCTTCCTGCATCCCAGCAAGGTGGCGAGCTGTTAATCAGGTGGGAAGAAACTGGAGTCCTGATAAAGAGAGCTTTAGGTTTAAAAAAAAAAAATTGCCCAGGAGCCAAATATTGTTACAACGCATTAAAGAAGATTGAATGCCGATACCAAGATATTAAAATAGCATATCTGTGTTCCTTTTCCTTCCGCTTTCCCTCTCACTCTGGTTTATCTTAATGCTCTACCTGAAATCCATCATATTTAGAATGAAGGGTGTAGATTAGGAATGGTTAAGGAACGAACACATTCTCAACACTGTATCTCTGCTCATATATAAATGCACACACAAAAGTGAGGATATTTCAAAAAGTGAAAATGGAACTTTAAGATAAGCTTATTTTGCTGTAAAATGTTTTGAACTCTGTGCATGGTCTTGTCATATGGATTTTCCATCAACAGCTTGAAGACTTGTCACATATATGATGAAAGGAGTTTTGCACCAAAATAAGCTTATCTCTTCATTTCATTCATCCACAGTTTTTGAAGTACCTTCATGTATACATTTTTTGGGCAGATTATAACTATCTAGATACTTGCTTTATTTGTGCTTTGGCAACATCAGAACATTTCCATGGGCTCATTACTAGCTG